AGTAAGCCAGTATCTGAGATAACCTATCAGTGCCACAGATTGAACAAGGTAAACCCCTTCCTTTCACTGTTTCTCCTCCCCCATTCCCTGATCGCCACCGACTGAGACTGTTTCATCTATCTGCTGTATCTATTTTCCTATGTTCTCTCTCTCCTGGCACTGCTACTGCTAATATCTCAGCTGTCACTTCTTAACGTCTTTATGCATTTTTTTATTACTTTCAACCTGCAACGTCTCCGCAATATCAACAGCATATCTCGGAAAATAATTCCCGGAGAACATTGTTTGTGAGGTGACCTCACTGATAGTTTCTGATGTTAATCGTTCTGTATAAACTTACTTGACATTTTGTACGTGTACCGGCCTTTCCTCTGAGTTCAGACCCCATGTCTGAGCTCTGAGTTCACACGTCTAGGCTGACACTCCAGCGCAGTGCAGGGGAAGTGTTGCGTTGTCAAAGGTGAAGCCTTCAGATCAACTGAGCTCCCGTCTACCTTTTCGGGTGATGAGTTAGAAAAGAGAAGGGAATTTTTCCTCTTTGTCCTGGCCAAAAATTCTCTAGATAAATTGGTTCTTGATTTTATAATTCAATAATAATTGATGCATTTGATTCATTGCCTTACCACATCAAAGTGTCTCAAGAGTGGGTATCAGCCTGGCTCAGGGAGCAGCACTTTAGCCTCTGAGTGGAAGGTTTGTGGGCTTATGCTCCACACCAGTACTTTGAACTCACAGACTAAGTTTGACACTTCAACACAGTGCTAGATGTGCACTGTATTTTGGAGGTGATGTCCTTTGGATGGGGTGTTAAACCAAAGTCCCGTCTGCCTGATCAGGTAGACGGTAAAGATCCCCTGGCACCAACTGAAAAGGTGAGGGAGTTTCTCCCGGTGTTTTAGTCATCATTTTCCCCAGTTAAAATTAGTCATTTACTTTATGGCTGTTTGTGGGACATTGCTTTGGGCAAATTGGCTACTGTGTTTGCCAATAAAATACACAATCACTACACTTTACAATAAATCCTGTGGAACGCTTTGAGTCATCCTCATGACGTGAAAGATGCTATATCAGGGGCAAGGATTATTATTATTATTATTACCAGGAACCTTGCTGTGCACAAGCTTGCCTACAAAGTACTCAGTCACTTGATAGTAGTTTCCTGTGCAGTATATCAAATACAAGGACTCTTATTATAAATACGTTACGTACAATGGTATTTGTGAATGACAATAATAGTCCTCGTCTTTTGATAAAGCACTTTATCATGTTGTCAGAATGCCTTCAAGTGTTTCACAGGGTTTACTAGACAGTGTAGTGACTGTATATTTTGTAGCTCAATGCAGTTAATTTGGTAAGTAAACAAGGTCTCACATTCCCCCCTTGGGCAAATCTGCTTCCAGAACAGAGATCCCAGGAATTCTATCAACGTTCCTTATCAAGAAATCTATTGATGAAATATTACATGTTGAACCCAAATAGAGACCAAAAACACCAGAAACTATACAGATATTATTTCCTTTCATGGAACTAGTACTAGCAAACAAACGTCCTATTCTGATGAAGGGTCGTGGACCCGAAACGTTGACTCAATAGATGCTTTCTCCATAGATGCTGCCTGACCTGCTGAGTTTTCCCAGCTCTCTCTGTTTTTGTCTACCAAACAAACATACTGTTATGAAATGTTTTTACTTATCTTAGATCATTCTAGATCTTCACAATTAATTTTTATAGGACACTGCATTCATTGTCGTCTTACATATTGTTGTGTAATAGAAATGTAATCTATCCTTTTGCAAGATTAGCATTGAATTAATAAGATACATAATACTGTCTAACAACCCTGTGCTCAACCCAAATCATTGTTCCCTAACAAATCACAGAGTCTCAGTCATGACAGCTCAGAGTTGTACACTTATACCTTCACGGTTGATAATATTGAGGCTGCTATTATTAAAAATCACATTGACTGATACTGTAAATCCAGCCACTTGTGAAATTCTTCCTGTTGCTATCTATTATGGAACCAATTTTGGCCTTACAAGTACACAGTCACTACACTTGATAGTAAGATCCTGTGCTTGCGCTTTGAGAAATGACATAATAAGGTGCTTTATCAAATGCAATGATTATTCTTACAATTTTGCTCATCCAGGATCAGGTCAGTGCTTACTTTTTAATCATATGAAATTAACTCGAGTCATTTCAGATTGAATTACCAAACATCATTCTGAATGGAGTTTATTCATTTGAATGCAATTTGTTTACAACAGTGTGTTTGCCAACATTGAGTGCAACATACTACAGAAATCAATTGTGAAGATCTGGCATAATAACATCAGCAAGTCAGGGCAGCAGCACCGACTGTGAAGTGCTACAAAACCATAATCATAATCCAGGGAAAACTATAACTGGATATTTACTGGTGCTTTCTGTCATTATCGGGTCTGGTATACAGTATTTCTTCATTTCTGGTCTCCTGGCCAACAATCCCTTGGTTAAAATTCAAGCCAACAGCCAAACCTCTCAGGCAGCCTTAGCTTACCAGAAACTTGTCGGTGTTTCATATACTGTGGTTCAAATGAGCTATCAATGCAGGGCCCTCAATATACACAGTCACTACCCTTGACACAATATCCTGTGAAGCGCTTTGAGATGTCTCTACGGTGTGCTAAGGCACTATATCAAATTCAAGGCTTATTAAAATAATATCGTTAACCAGTTCTAGTCGTTAATTACCCTCTGACTAACGAAAACCTTCCTGGTGTCTGTCCTGAAATTACCCTTTGAAACTCTAAAGCTATTCATTAAAGCCAAGTCATTGGCATTTGTTGGGGTAATCAATACAAAGCCGCTCCTTCCAGCATATAAACATCCGTTTACAAGAAAAAAACTTTTTTTGTCGCCTGTTTGCTTTTGTGAGTGGAAAGTGTTTGTCGATTACGTGTCGATACAGAATACCTGAACAAGCAACATCTGACCAGTTTCACAGGGACTTGTTGACACAAGAGAAAGAGAAGAGAGAGAGAAAGGAAGGGAGGTGGAATAATGGGTGACCTGGACTATTATTTCACACAGTGCTAGCTTTTGCTGAAGGATTCTTTATTCTTCTGTAGACGGATTGTTGAAAGATGCCTTTAGCTTGATAATCAAAGCCCATCCTTATGAAAAGCACAGCACCTCTTGAACCTGCAGGTAGGCTCTGATATTTGAAGCAAAAGAAATGCTTTCAGCCTGTAAGTTGAAGTAGCATTCTGGTAGTCGCTTCCATAGATTTTTCCATTTTAACAGTAATAGTTTGCTGTTGTGAGTTCTATTTTATATCCTCCCCTGTTACCTTATTCACTGTGTTTTGATTGAGAAAGCTGGCAAGCAAACCTGCCACTAACTAGCCATTTTGAACGCCTCCAACCCAGAGGAAATTATCTTCTCATTCTTACCCCTCCCCCCCATGCGAAAGCAATTAACGAAACCACTTTCCTTTTCCACCGAGGAAACACTAAAGGGTCTAATTTGTAAAGACTCTCATCCGAAAGACGGCACCTCCAACATTTCAGCCCCCCTCCCACGACTGCACGGGGGCAATTACAGTAAGTGAACATTTATTTTTGAAAGGCGAGCTAAAAGGCAAAAGGCAATAAAACGCCCTGTCTATTTTTCTACGTCTCGTGTTTGCCTGCGGAAACACTATTCCTTCTGAGAAAGAGGCCATTGTAGGTGGTTGAAGTTTGATATGGCTGTGTGTGAGATGCCCAGGTCAACATGAGGGTTCTGTTTCTGCAATGACTGAGGCTCCACTGACTTGTCTATTCATCACAGCTGTTTGTTGGCCTCAGGAGGATCGGATCCGTAGGGCGACACAACACCTTTTCTAAAGGTTAAGCAACTTTAAATACGAGTGAAAAGGGATCATGTACATCCCGGGCCTTAGCCTGACAGCTCTCTGTGTACACAAGCTGAGAAACACATCTCACTGTGTGGAGAGATCACAGCAAGGCATTGTGAATGTCTCTGTGGCAACAAGTAAACATCACCATCAAACATCAGTTCAACAGGTCAACTTGCAAACCAGCAATGTCTTTGGCTAAACTAAGAGAGAGTTTCTGCGTTTCTATAGCTTATTTGGGGGAGATGTCCCAAAATGTGGGATATTTTTCTCAAGCAGTTATTTGGCTAATTCAACTGTCATGTCATGTCATTCAACTCCAAGAATGTGTGTTACCAAAAATGGCGTTGAAGAATTGATTGGAAATTGTGGGGTCAAAGCCTTGAAAAGTTCGGAGTAATTCCTGTTATTTCTTGAGGGACAGGATTCGAGTAGACATTCCCTTGCGGGGAGCTAGGACCCACACAGATACCATGGCCCTGATAATAAAAATAATATTCCTCACATTGATATAGTGCCTTTCATGTCGGAAGGTTTCACAAGGTAAAATGTAGTGACTGTGTGTCTTTTGTGGTGATGACTTCCTTCCGTACTGGAAACAACAACAACAAATTGCATTTGTTTAGCGCCTTTCACGTCTGGGGGGATGTCCCAAGGCGCTGAACAGTTAGGGATTTGAACCTGATCTTGGAGTTGAGATCAAAAGGGGAGAGGGGCAGGGAAGGTAGGAGGACGCTGTGATGCTGTGATGGGAGGATGGTAGGGTGAGTGTTGCGGAGGGATATAATAATAATCGTTGTATTTCATATAGCACTTTATCGCTTTGTGGGGACGTCTCAACCCGCTTCATTGGATATACCTTAAACTAGATTGACTGTGTATTTCATGGGCAAAACACAGCAGTGTCCCACAAACAGTCATGGATTGAGTGTCCGAATTATTATTAGTATTGAGATCAATTGGGCCGAAGGAGCCTCCTTCACCTGAACCGACCTTAAGTGAACTTGCGAATCTATCTGTGTGAATTGCAAAGTGGCCGAACAACGAGGGGGGGAGGGGGTCCTTCACTATAATGAAGCAGGTGGCATACGGTTTATTATTGTCTGTTTGTGTTCAGTGCATCTGCAGGTCCTCCTCGGTGCAGGCCTGGCCTTTCTCTGCTTCTGCCTGATCATCAGCTGCGCCATATGCTGGAGGAAACGCAAGAATAGCAGCTGCAACAATGACAAGGAGCAAACTCCGGAACGGATCATTTTGGAGCCAAGTCCGACACTGCCCGGGCAGACGAGCGCGCCCGTCAAGCAGCAATACGAGGAAGTGGAAGGGGAGGTACTTGACTACCCAACGTACGATGCTGATGATCTGCCAGTCTTTGAGCCCGAGAGCGAATTCAAGAGGAGCCTTCACAGCAGACCATCCCTGCCCAGTCTGCATGGCAGAGCTTCCTTAACCACTGTCCCAGTGGTTCAGAAACAAAGCTTGGCGGCCAAAACCAAGAGGATGCTCGAGAGACGCTGCACTGTCTCGGGCGACGGGTCGCTCTACAACGAGCACACCAAGCTGAGGCGGGCGAGTGCCAGGCTCACCTCCTCAATACTGGGTCACTCGCAGACCATGCCAGACGACCTGGCGGGCATTAAATCCAAACCGAGACCAGCGCTGCACTTCACCCTGTTTTACTCGGCCTATGAGGTGACTTTAACTGTTGCTGTCATCAGCGTCGCCAACTTGCCCAAAAGGTTTGGCTCCGGCTGTGACTCCTATGTCAAGGTGTACCTGCTGCCAAGGTTCCTTGAACCCCAGCAGACAGCTGTCCACAGGAAGAGCCTGAATCCGGAGTACCGGGAGTGCTTTCAGTTCTCAGGATACACGCTGGACGAGGTCAAGGGCTTCACACTCCGCTTTGCCACGTACGTCAAGGAGTTCCACAGTTTTAAGGACACTTTCGTTGGGGAGGTGCTCTTCCCCTGTGAGCAGGGAGACTGGAAGCCCGACGTTCCCTCCACCTACATCAAGGAGCTGACCGCCACCAAAACCAAACTCAAAAAGGTAAGAGGCTGGAAAATGCCATCGTTGTAAACATCGCACATCTCACACACCCGCTTTGTACCCGAGCTGACACATGACTCGTGAACATGTGTTGAGCTTGGGTGAGGACAACATGGGTAATCCTATGATATCCCTTCTGCACATACACACACACACAGCACACACACAACACAAACACACCATTGAGGATGTATGTACCTCAGTACCATCGGATGCAGAGAATCATAGATTCATAGAATTCTACAGCACAGAAGGAGGTGATTTGGTCCATCATGCCTGTGCCATCTCTTTGAAAGAGCTATCCAATTAGTCCCACTCCTCCGCGCTTTCCGCATAGCCTAACAATTAAGTTTGCTGACTCATGCTGTAATAGCGAATGATAATATTAGATATTAATAATAATAATCCATGCATTTGACGTAGGGCTTTTCACGTCAGGTGGACATCTGTCAAAGCACTTCCCAGGATTTGCTGTAATGTGTGGTGACGGTGTACTTTGAAGATGGTGACACAACAACAACAACAACATTATATAGCTTATATAGCGCCTTTCACACGGGGTAGCATCCCATATTATTATTATTTATTATAGTGGTTAGGAGCAGAAATGCTGGTTGAAAAATCCTGATGGTCCAGTGCCTTGGTCGTCCAGGCATTATACAAATGTAATTTGTTGTTGTTGCTGTTCTCTACTAATGGACACATTTAAGAAACAACTTGATGCTGTTGAATGCAGGAGCATTGATAATCAGTAAGGATGAAATCAAATGAGACAGAATGGTCAATTTAATATCTTTACAATTAATGTGATAGTAGGATGGTTCCCAATGGCCAGTAAATCTCCTGGCTATGGCATTGAGGGCTTTATAATGCAGACCTTCCACTGTCAGCTCAAATAGACAAGATCAATAACTGCGCAGATCATGTAGTTTCCACATCTTGAGGGATAAAGTGAAACGGGCGTCCTTTTGATTCACGGCTCGCTGGTAAATATTAGTCTGCAGCTAATTACAACTCAGAATAAGACAGGGATTTGATACACTGTGGACCAATCATCCCAATTTTAACGGAATAATACTCGACACACACTGGATCCCGAAAGCATTTAAATACAGCCGAAGAATTAATTTGATTCATTTTAATGGCTAGTGAAGTTATTTCACATTTTTAATTACACCTTTCTCCTGACCCCATCAGCTATTTTATCACAAGACCTATTTAAATGACATTTAATTGCAACCTCACCCTCTCAAAGATCAGCTTGCTGTGAAGTTCTAGTTTTGGCTAAAACATTAACTTTCATTTATGGAAGTGTTGAACTTTGCTCACATTTGCATTTAAAAATAAAAGCCTGCAGACTTTGGCCGGACTTTGGGAACAAGTCTTGTTTGTGGGGCAAATTTGGCAGAGATCCCAGCGATTTCTGATGCTCTTTGAAACAATCAACACAGACAATTGCTCACCTTTCAGTCCCATTTGCCCGTCTTTTCCCCCAAACACCTGCAAATCCCTCCTTTTTTGTTTCTTTCTAATTCCGTCCTTGTTGGTTTTATGCAACCCAGAAAAGCTGTAACCTTGCAGAGTTATGGGGCTCTTTAATCAAGTCAGTGCAGACGTCAAACTCTTCTGCCTTGTGTCTTGAAGATAGCAATCAGTAGGTTGGTGAAGAATGAGGCTTCATTTCTTTTGAAGCAAAGCTCCTTATCTATTTACACCCACTCCGCTCTCGGTTTGGTCAGGTCTTCCTGTTGCGCTTGTGTCTGGAAAATCCAGACCCACAACAAGCTATAGACCTGCAGGTAGAAACACTTCGATAATAATTACCTGTGAGGCACTTTGATGCAATATAACATTATAATTATAACAGGACATTATAACATTAAAGCACAGTGTCAGTCTTGATGATGAGGTTGGAAACAGAAAACTGTTTTTATTACGAATGCCTTTACAAAATAGCAACATTCGTGGAAAGAATTCTAAACTCCAACTGCAATGAACCCTCAGCAATCTGGTAGAAAAAAATCAGTTAATGTTTCAGATCTGATGAAAAGGCATGCCCTCTCTTTGTCACATATTGATTGGTGTCCTTTGGATTTCAGTTTTTACTGCAGATTATCAGCACTCAATCTGCTTGTTTTTAATTATTAAACATTGCTCTATTATATCTTTGGGGGAAAATCCCGTCTGGTGAATATCCGCCTAACGAAGCATTAAAAGGATTTACAACTTGTGCTCTAAGAATCTGCACCTGTTATTATGTTAATATCGGTAACATCAAACAGTGACATTCACACAGAGCAGAAAGGCTTCTGAGGATTCAATCCTGCGCCAACTCATATTTCATTGAATTCACTGAGCAGTGCTGACAGATATGACACACGAAGAGAAATTCATGGCCGTTTATCAGCGGCAGCAGGAGCTTTTAATCCTCACTTATTAGTTGTCACTTTGACGTAGTTTGCAGCTAATTTTGATTAAATTACTTTACAGTGGCAACAGCTGCGTCAGTCACATTAAAGCGAGGGTGTCATTGCACGCTGTGTGTGCTTACTGTAAAATGTTTAAGCCTTCCTCTGCAGTGGAAGATGAGCTGCATTGTTCTTGGCTAAGATCACTTCACTTTGAGGTGGTCGAGGTCAGGGCACTGGAATCATTTTAAGAAACAACAAATTGCATTTATATAGCATCTTTCACGTCAGGGGGATGTCCCAAGATGCTGGATAATCAAGGGTTTGCACCCAAGCTGGGGGCTGGAGTCAAGAGGGGTGGAGGGCAGGGTTTGGTGTGAAGATGACCGAAGGCGCGGTCGAAGAGGAATGTCTTGAGACAGGCCTTGAAGGCAGGCAAGGGAGGGCGCAACGTGGAGGGACTCCGGGATGGAGTCCCAGAGGCTGGGAATAGAAAAGCTAAAGGCCCGACCTCCGATGGTGGAGTGGGCTGGGCAGGGGATGTGGAGCAACTTGATGCTGCAATAGGAGGGCAGAAGGGTGGACATTCTTGGGTTCCCTCTTGTGATCTTGCTCTTTTCTGATCTCAACTAAGTCAACACTGAAGACACTACAATTTGACCTCAGTACACTAGGTAAGGGAGAGGGAGGAAATCACCCAAGGATACTGGCTTCTTATTGAATAGCCTGCCATAACAAATTGTCAAGACTCACACATGAATTTTGGCCAATTATTATTAAACCATTCCTCTGGAAATCCATATCCAAATCCTTTTTAAATATTAGTATGGTCTTAACTTCAATAGTCACATGTGGCAAAGTATTGCATTTTCAAATAATCCCCTGCATAGCAGGGCTCAAGCACTTGGCTTATCCAACACTTTGGGACATCCTCCGAGGTGAAAGGCGCTACATAAAAGTAAATTTTTCGTCTTGCATGACAAATAATTTTCTAATGTCCCCTTAAATGTTTCGGTGACAATCCCACCTATAATCCCTCGCTACTGATTCATTGATCAGTCAGAATAATCTTTCAGTGTTTTAGCACTTGCTTTGAAGCTCTTTATGAGATCCTCTCTTAACTTTCTCTGTTAGTATTCAATCAAAGTGCAAGTCTGTAAATTCTGAACAGCCATGAAGCCACGTTGACAGGAATATAACTTTATGTTCTGTTAACACTCGCCCAGTAAAGGACACACAGTCTCACCGCTTGACAGTGATTCCTGTGAAGTTCTTTGAGACGTCTCGACGACTTGATAAGGCATCATGTTAAACACAAGGATTATTAACACTCAATATCAATTGACTATATATTTTTCAGTGTCTCAGTTCCCTGGATGTGACATCCTCTACAAGCAGTTTCGCACAGCCCAAGACTTTGGGTCAAATCTTTATTCTATTGCAGTATCAGACCCTAGCGAACAGGATCAAGGTCATGATCCGGAAGGCAGAAAATCTAGGCAGGATGACCCGTATACTTGGATCACCCGGTGAGTGACAAACATCAGAGAATTCTAAAGAAATAGAATCATAGAATTGTACAGCACAAAAAGAGACCATTCGGCCCATTGAGTCTGTGCCGACTCTTTGAAAAGAGCAATGTAATGTCAATCCCACTCCCCAGCCCTTTCCCCGTAACCCTGCAAACCCGTCCTCCTCAACCACCTGTCCACCGCGTTTTTAAAAGTTTTTAAAATAGTGCTTGTATCGAGGTTAATCGACCGGTGGAATGAGTTATCAGATAGGGTATTACAGTCCAGGATTCTGGACTCTTTTAATAAACTGGACTCTTTCAAGAAGCTCGTTGATGGTAGGGAAGATGGTAGGTTTGGTTTTCTGCAAGGAGATCAAGTGGCCTTCATCCTAGCAAGACGAGTGATCTCGTAAACATGTGACGCCTGTGTTAAAGACCAAGCATACTGTGCTAATCTTCCAAATCACAGTGCACATTGCACAGGAGAGATTTCAAATAAGATCCTTGGGGAGGGAGAAAATACTTTCAATCTCAAGTATTTCCCCTTCACACACAAAAAAAACCCCCGCTAACAAGCATTAGATTTAAAGGACTTTTGCTGAACTATTAAATGGGCATTTTTTCGTGAACTTTTGTCAGGCTTTACAGCAATTTTGAGGGGCAAGAAATTAGCCCAAAAGCAATGCTCTGACTGCGATTGCAAACCTGCAGGGTATTTGATTCAGAAATTATAGGGGACTATTATTATTATTCTTATTTATATTTTAAATATTAGTTAACATGTTAAGTGTGTAAATTAATACAACAAAAAGTGTTATTAAAACCAACAAACATTACTCTGTTGCGTCAGAGAAGCCCCAAAATTGTGATACCTCTCAGCATTTATAGTACCGTACAGTAGAGTACATTCATAGCATAGTACCATAAGCTTCGGTGTTGAGCTCCGCTACGGTTTAAGTGCTCCGAGATGCCGTCCGGTGTGAAGGGCGCTACGTAAATGCAAGCTGTTGTTGTTGTTGTACTTAACCAGAGAGGTCCACGCTCCTTTTGTTTACTTACGTTGCATTCTGTATTTGTTCTTTATAGATCATTACGTCATTATACACCTTTACCAAGATGGAAAATCATGGCAACAAAAGAAACCAAGACTGCCAACAGCTGCAATCCAGTCTGGAATGCACCGTTTCTGTTCGATATCCCTCCCGGTGACATTGAAAGCCGGCAGCTTTCACTGGAGTTTATAGTGATGCAGGTACGGACATCGTAAGATTAGTAATGGTTAGTATTAGGCCCAGTTTTATTAAGACAGAGAAACAAATAATTGAGTTTAACTCTCAATGAGAAAGGTTTACAGCACTGAAAGCGGCCATTCAGCCCATCATACCACCATTGGTGTTAGCTTCTTGCTACATCTTTGACCACACTTTCAGTCATCTTTCTACTCTCTACCCCACTTGGCTCCCAACCACAGTTCAGGTGCCTGCTAGTTTTCTTATCCACCTTGGGACATCCTTGAGATGTGAAAGGCACTGTATAAATGTAAATTTGTATTGTAATGCACATTAAATCTCATTTCTCTACTTGTTCCTCAAACCCTTTTATATTATTCCTTCTCAAGTATTTATTCAATTCCATTTCAAATGCTGTTATGGACTTGCTTCAAATTCCACGTTCTAGCAACATTATTTATGTGAAGATAAATCTACTAACCTTCCCCTTTTTTCTTTTACGTCCTCCTGACACGAAAAGCGCTATGCAAGAGTAATTTGTTGTCATCGTGGTTTTACTGACAATCCTCTTTGTGACTTAATGAGCAGTGAGGTTAGTCTCTCCCTCTCTTCATTTCCCCTGTCGGAACCATGTAATGTGGCTATCTGTTTATTTCCAGAGTCGCATTTACACCCGAAACTGTGTCCTTGGCCGCTTGTCCATTGGCGGGAACGCTGGAGAAATGGGAAGGATGCACTGGAAGGAAATGTGCAGTCGGGGTCATGTGGAGTCAGCTCGATGGCACCCCATCTATCCAGACACCTTGTAGACGCCACCACACATATTCATGTTTCATCCCTCTCGCCCTCTTCAGCGAAATGTGATCATATTGTATCAAACATTGTTCAAGGCCAGTTAGGAACTTGATGTTGTAGGTGACAAAAGAGTTTAATCACAGCCATTGCCCTTTCGTCTGGCAGGTCCATGTCTATACCCGAACTTGAGAAGAGAAAGGTCTTTCACTGTTGGTTGACTGTCTGCCCTCAGATACACTTGTGCTGTGCTTAGACTGTCTCAATCAAATAACCTACTGACTCTCACCATCAATGCTCACACTTGAATATTGGCCACATTGTGTCAAAAGCAGATTTAGGATCAAGTCCTTCCCTATAGTCATTCCTTCCATGTAAAATGAATGGAATGACTGGTGAAAGGGGGGACAACTCAAAGTGCTTCACAGGATATACTGTAAAATGGAGGGACTGTGTTCTTTTTGTGAGTGAACATGCAGCCAACATGCACACAACAACAAAATTACAGTTGCATAGCACCTTTCACATCGGGAGGACGTCCCAAAGTGCTGGACAGACAGAGTTTCGGATCCAAGCTGGGGGTGGGATTGGGGAGGGTGGAGGGCGGTTGGGGGGGTGGGGGGAGCAGGGAGATCGAACGCACGATCGAAGAGTATTATCAAACAGCATTATCCCACAAATAGCCATGAAGCGAATGGCAATTTCTTTTATTTGGGTGGATTGTTGGCCAGGACACCGAGAGAAATTCCCTTCTCTAATCGAATACTGCCACAATGTTTAACGTCCCCTTGAACAGGCATACAAGGCCGAAGGATGGCACCACTGACAATGCAGTGTTCCCCCAGCACTGCATTGGAGTGTCATCTTAGGCTATTTGAGTTCCAAGACCTGGCATGCAGCTTGAACCCACAACCTTTTGACTCAACCGTAGCAATGTGGAACCTAGATATCATTCGTAGAATCACTGCAAGAAATATGGAGCCATCTGCTGGAAATACGACCAAATTCTCATTCCTTCACTGAAAAAGGCTTTGTGTTTTCAATCCAAGGTTGGATGACACTACTATCTTATAGCCTTATGACCACAACCCTCTATTAAACCCATCACCTCCATTATTTATCTGCTTCATTGTGGGTGTGTGTAAACTCACAGTTCACTGAGGTTTAATAAAAACCATATTGATATTGTGCCCTTCATGTTGGATACTGTCTAGGAGCGTCTAATCCAGGTAAAGACATTTGATGATAATTCACCATCACAAGCTTTGCCAATTTGCTAAATCCAGTGCCGTACATTTGGTTCACAGTTGGTAGTCCTGTCCCTTGATGTTGCTGTCAATAATGTTTCCGATTCAAAAGATGTGAGTGAAATATTCAAGATCTGTGGCAAATGAGTCACTCATCAACGTGTTCCCTTTGTTCAGATGTACGTTGTGTAAATCCAATGGTCGCTCCATTAAATCTTATTAATGAAGAATTTTGGCTTCTTCCCTGGTGGTTCTTTGTTCACAGAAATATAGGGGTGAAAATGGTGACATTTGACATGATAATTATCACCGGTGATAAATATCACTTCACATTTTTGTTAATCCCCGAATGCATAAATGCATTTGGAGCCATAAAAGTTCCTTCAAAACCATAATAATTCCTTCAAAAAAATAAGAACAAGAAATTGATCACTTCAATCCACGGCTATTTGTGGGGACACTGCTGCTTGCAATTGGCGGCCGCGTTTCGCCCACAAAATATACAGTCAATTCACTTTACGGTATAGTCTGTGAAGCGTTTTGAGACATCTCAAAGACCTGATAAGGCGCTATATCAAATGCAAGGATTATTATTATTATACAAACAGTGTGGGTTGGCACTTTTGCTCCTGTAGAGGTGCATACCACAAGAGCTATAATTATCCTCCCCCTTGTAGTTATCTGCTACTTGAAGTGGATTATCCTATTAAAATCTCTTCATATCAATAAAGTCAATTTATTTCAATGCAATTTCATTGTGTAAAAAAATGATGGTTGGAAACTAAAAGCAGAATACACAAAGTATAAACGCAAAGCAAGAGTGCTTAGTGGGTCAATTACTGAGCGAGAACAGCTCCTAATTTAGTCTGAATCTAAGTAGCCGCAGACAAGAGTTCTGTCTTTCTCAGCCTTGCTGGAAGCTCTTTCACATAGGAGTTCCTATTGAACACTCTACGACTCTCCACACAACATGCAGATTAATTCGAAGCCTGAATTTAACCCTTTGGTCACCAGATCCAAGGCTTGCTGAGCCACCTCAAAGACGCTGTGTGTGTGTGTATATATATATTATATACACACAATTGAGGATAGGAGATGGCATATCAGCTCTCAGTCATTATCACCTGCATAGCGCCGAGTGAGGATACAACACATTTCTTATGCAAATGCAAAACCTGTGCGCAGAGAGAAAAGAATACTTACAGGTCGCAGTTGATAAGTGCAGGATCTTTACTCGTTTAAATATAAACAAACTGTTACATGACATAATTTAAAAATGCATCTGAATGTCTGAACTTTAGATCAAAGAGCCCACATATTTCTAACATAACTATTTTAATTATATTTTTCCTCCCCTCCTACATGGGATATTTCTCCTGAAGGCACAGTTTCTCAAGACACTGGCTGTCTCTGTTTGCCCATTCACATGGCTACTCAAGGCTTGACCACTGGAAACCTTAAATTCTCCCTTGTCTTAGCCTTTACTGTACAACCATTTTATCTTAAACTGTAATATCACAAATTTAAACAAACCTTTTGGAAGCCAGTTCTCTTTAATAACCACAGAAAATTAGCTTCAAACTTAGGACAAATTTAAGACCTTTTCACAATTCTGCGCAATCTTAACTTTGAATGTAAAATGGTCTTTCAGGCTGAGACTTGGGAGAATTCCAGGCCATGGGAGCGTCACAGTGCTAGTAAGAGTCTGAGAAGTCTTTAATAAGGAGGAGGGGAAAAAGGGGATTACATCAGGAAAATAAGTGCTTTACAATAAATAGAATCAATATTCCAGCAAAGAAAATGCATATCTGAGCGACACGTCAATATAAAGCTCTTCAAAGTAATAAGAATATTCCATTAAAAAAAAATTCCACAACAAATCTATTGGTTGATAAAGTAAATTAAAAAACAAGGAATCAAGAGGATCGAACATTCACCTGGTCTTCGACTGAAAAACTATCCAGCATGTTTAAATTTGAAAATTTAAAATTGCCGAGAATTGTGGAAAAAGTTTTCATTCAGTTTTCCTCAGTTTTTAGTTTATTTTTTAAAAAAGAACCAGCTCCCACAGGAGCGATTTTTTTTCTCCACAATTCTGTGTGATCTTAAATTTGAAGGCGAGAATGATCCCAGGGGCTAAGACCGGTTGGAATTCCAGGCCTCAAAAGTTGGGCCACATAGGCGTGATTGTCACGAGCACAGACCTCAGTTAAATTTTTAATTAACAGGACAAACAAATTGCCCTGGAATTGCACTTAAAGAAAATACTGCCTCGCTCCTTCCAAATAAATTATCCGTTTCTTTCTGTAGTGAGGTTTAATTTGGATGTGAAGTCTGGTTTATCATTAACCCAAGCAGCTTAAATCTCTAGCCAATCTGCGCCTGATATTTTCTGGAATTAGGTAAGCAGGATGCAGCCCTCCAGAGCGAGAGTGCACATTCCATCCCAACAATCTATCTCTGGAATTTCTATGTGTAGGTGGGATGCATGGAATAATAATTGTTCACTTCAATCCATGACTGTTTGTGGGACACTGCTGTGCGCAATTGGCTGCCGCATTTCGCCCACAAATATGCAGTCAATTCACTTTACAGTCTATTCTGTGAAGCGCTTTGAGACGTCTAGAAGAGGTGAAAAGCGCTATATCAAATGCAAGTATTATTATTATTATTATTAATTCTCACTTTGGTTTGGATAATCTTAAGCACAGTGATGCGTTTCCGCATGTGTCAGACACCCGGCTGGGCAAACACAAAAAATCGGAAAGGAAAACTGTCGTCTTAACAAAAATTACAGGATTAATTGAACAAGCAGGAGGAGTTGGCTCCGAGGGAAATGTGAAGACTATTAGACGCAACAAACACAGTGGCTGTAACGAGATAAGTGGGCATGTGTGGTTGCTTCAATTGCAGTGTCTAATGATCTATTTTACTTGCGAATGGATCAATATCTCTGCTCATTAAACATCTCCATCGTGGCTGGTTGGCTGCCAGATTATCAAGGTCAATTTCACTGGAAATCGTACAATTGTCTCATAATTTCTCACCTTAATGCACTAAGGCAAACCCAACTGTACACAGTGAAGTCCAATGGAAATACACCCAAGGCAACTACGACTGTGTTAGGTGTCAAAATTCTGCTCGTTGGAAGTCTGCGGCACAAAATTCCATTTAGTCCTAGCCTGTAAATCACCTTTGCCTTAAAACATTTATATTTATATAGCGCCTTTCACAATGGGAGGACATGCCAAGCTGCTTCTTGCTTGGCACCCGAGCTAGGGGTGGGAGCCGAATAGAAGACATTTAAATTAAAATTTTAAATTCCGAACTAATTTGGAAGCCAGTTTTCCACATTTTTTTAATAATGAACAGACTTCCAAATTAACCCTGAATTTAAAACCATTTCCACAAGTCCACATTTACCTGGATAACTAGTTTTGAGATAAAAAGGTTTTACACGTTAAGAGGATTTGGGAGCTACTGATTGTGTACATTGTCAATGATCAGAAAAAGGAATGAGACACTTTGGACGTTTACTGGGACGGGTCATTGCGAAAGGCTATGTTTGGTTGTCAGCTATCCCCAACTCGTGTCTCATCCTATCAAAGCAGGAGAGATGATCCTAGAGAAACAAACTGCATTCATAATGGCATAGCATCATAGACCTTTACAGCACAGAAGGATGTCATTCAGCCCATTGCACCCGAGCTGGTTCTCGGTAAGAGCTCTTGCTCCCACAATTTGTAACCATTGTCTAGTCTCCAGCGCACATTTTACACTGAAGTGAAGGATGTATCAGGGGTTAAGGACTGAGACCTGAAAGTTTTGCTCTGAAGTTCAGCTACTAAAACCTCTTTGTAAGAAGGGGCCTGAGCGGCTGATGTATTTGTCCCCGATACACTATTAACACCGATTTGGAAACTGAGTCAATGGATTGAACACACGCTGATCACTAAAATAAAGCGATCTTCTCCATTACAGTGTCATAACAATTCAGAAATTCCGTCCTAAAAACTATAGTGGGGAGGGGGGAATAGTAATTGTTAACAGATTCCACTGGACCCAAATGCTTGTTTTTAAAGACTCTGATTCTCCATTGAAGCACTTGGGGGTGATGCTATTTTTTTATTCATGTTTGACCTGTGTAAATGGAAAGGTCTGGGGGATAAGAGGAGAGAGCATTTGATAGCCGAGGGTATTGCTCTCATCTGTGGCTTCTCATCTTCACTGGGAGTTCCTGAGGCTGGAGATAGGAGATCAGGGGTGGAAGTCCTAGGTATCAGTGCTGGATCTGGAGAGGTTTGCCTGATTGGAGATGGAGTCCTGATCTCTGTCAAAGTCCCCTCGTGTGACCTGGTCTCTTTAGGAGGTGATTGACTAGTTGAAGTTATGCTGTAGCAAACCTCTGGCTGGTGAATGCTCCCAGAATCAACAGTTCCTCTGTCAGGCAAATTTTGGGTGTGTAAGCCAATGCACCCTTGCTCACCTCTCAGTCTGGGAGATATGGTAACATTGTCCCTTCTCACTGGGGAAGGATCATTGCCTCTTCTGTTAAAAGGTTTAAACTCCTGAAATGAAGGCGTTCCACTTGGGTTTGAGGGCGGGCTGTTGGAAAGGGCTGGGACACTCTCAGTGTCCGACGTGACAACAAAGGCATTTTCCCTCAGGAATCCTACGCTTCCAATGTCCTCATGAGTCACGGAAGTCACCTACAATAAAATTGTACAGGTTGTTTAGAACACAAGGAGTTCAAACTCTCTGGGACATTATCCTGCATGAGGGGTGCTACCTAAATGCAAGTTGTTGTTGTTACTGTTTACAAATTCTGATTAAACCTCGGCAGACAGGGTGTCCTTGAGTCCGAAGTTGGTAAAAACCTTGTGTTTGATATGACACCTTTAACGTTGGAAAATATTCTCAAAGTGCTTCACAGGATTCACTGTGTATTTTGCAAGCGATTGAGTGTTGCCGGTACACCATTAAGTAGCATATAGTTGCACCACGTTATGCCATACTTTGGTATTATTGCAGCTCTGTTTATAGTCTGTCATGCTATGATATAGGTGCAAAGCTAAGGTTGTTCAGTGGACAGAGGGTTAAGCTCATAACCTTCTACTTCATCTGCTCACCAGTCTGTAAGAATTACAAAAGTTCAGTTCTAAAGTTATATGTGAGGAGCATTGGATGTGAGTGTGAAAACAAGCCTCAATAAAAGTGCAGATGAAGTGCTGTCGGAGAAGGACAAGGCAATCTGGCCGGCTGCGCGGTCAATTCACTCGACTGTGAATGTCACTGCGCAGCGAGCAGCCAGCCAGCCAGCCTCGTGCTCTGGCCTCCCTCTGGACCTCACTCCGCAGCTCTGTGTGGGTGGAATACCGAGGCTGAACTCCTCAGATCATGGCAGATGGCGAGGTGTTCACCCGTGGATCACAAATCTTTTCAGCACAGGTTAAGGTCATTCAGCCCTTCGTGTCTGTGCCAGCTCCTTGGCATAGCCTTAAATCTGTAGGACCACTTCATCTTAAACTTCTAAGATCGTGGAAGGTTCTTTAATTCTGTTATAGTTTTGCAGAAGGCATTGTTTCTTTTTAACAACCGGCTTCCAAATTAAGCCTGAGTTTAAGAATTTGTTTTGAAAAAAAAGCATCCAGGAACTTAGGGAGAAACGACGTAAAAAGGAGAGCTGGGGAGAATAAACGGAAGAAAAAAAGACGGGCGAGGAGGTGTGGCGATTAAGCAGTGTGGAACATCAGAAAGGTCGAGGAGGTGAGCTGTCAGATATGAGCACTGAAAGGCCTGGAGTGCCTTCGGGAGTCGGTCAACCGTGGAAGCTTCCTAATGACATTTGATAGCGAGTGGGTGGATTAATGAGGAAACAACCCAGGAACGGACAGATCATATTTGCTAATGGGGCCTGGATGCCTCATTCGTTCAATGGGATCTGCATAAATCAGGAAGTCAGGTGTTTTTAGGCATTTAAAATAGGAGGCATTTGAATCCACGTCTATCGCTCTGCCAGCACACTGTCTCAGAGGGGACCTATGCGCTGATCCCAAAGACTTTGAAATGCAACACAACGCCAGGATTCACACAGAAGCATCAGATTTGCTTCAAACAGCTGTTGCTACAAAGCTCTCAGCAGACTCAATAACACAAAGTGTTGGCTGGATAATTATCACCAGTATCACAGGCACTGTTTACTGGTGGTTCATATACCACCCAGTGTCAGACTGGCTCAGTCAGTAGCAATCTCATCTCTCAGTCAGAAGGTTGTGGGTAAGTCCCCACATCGGGACTTTGAACTCACACTCTAGTCAATACTGGGGCAGCCCTGCATTGTCAGAGGTTTAGCTCAGACGTTAAAAATTCCTTGGCACTATTCAACTTTTCTCCTGTCTCTTAATCAAAACGGTCATTCACTTCATGGCTGTTTGTGGGATTTTTGCTGCGCACAAATAGGCTGCCACATTTGCCTACAAAATGCCAAGTAAACCTTGTGAAGTACTTTGTGAGATGTCTAGAGTGGATGATGTGATAAGGCGCTACATTAAATTAAATGTAAGGAATATTATTATTGTTCTTAAATACGTGGTTCCAGGATCATTGTGGCCCACTTCTTTCTCCTGTGGATTCCCTAGAGACACGTTACCTGTTTCCAGGGTTGCCTGGCTCAATCTGTAGCAATCTGGCCCAAACCTAACAACAATAATTCATTTACAATCCCGGATTGTGAGTTTCTCTTGCCTTCTTAGGGTCTTGCATCTCATCCAATGATTTCTGGGCTTCCTCTCTCACCTCCTGAAGCACGGCATTTCTGGCAACAGGATCTGTAAAATAAAGAGAGGTGTTGGAAAGACACCGGCAAGTCAGGAATGAGAAAAAAATTGCAACAAAAAAGAACAAGGCTAAAAAGAGTGAGGAGAGACAGAGGGTAAGGTAATCCGCTGGTGGTAAAACAAATAACCCAAGGGACCTTCCCATTGTAAACTCGCACAAGAGTGAGGTAAAGGTATCAACCAGCAGAGAACGTAAGAGAGACAGCGTAAGAGAAAGGCAAAGAGAGAGAAACTATAGCATATTTCACATCAAACAACGTCTCCATATGGCCATGAAGGGAGAAACAAGCCAAGAAAAATTGGGCAAGGAAGAACGTGAAAGGCAAAAATAGGAGTAAGCAGGAATGGTATGGGGTAGTTAAAAAAAAGTAGAAGCTACGATGGGCGCTTTCTCGACCGAGAAAACCAGCGTTCAAATCCCATCTCGTCTGGCATTTTATGGTTGAGAAGAGGACAGGGATCAGTCAGTCTCATTCAAACCAGGGAACGAATAGCAACCCGCAACAGATCAGAAAGACGGTACCTTGTGCCTTGGCACTCGTTCCTTGCACAAAACTGTCACAGTGACTACATTTCTGAGGAGGGTAACTGAAAGAGTGAGAAGCATGGAGTTAGTTGGCTGTGGGTTCACTGAGCAACACATCCCAATGCCTCGCAGAGTGAGGTTCCACTAGTATCAAATGCAAGTGAGCTCAAAGTCCAGAAATGGGGTTCGAAACCCACAATGTTACTTACAAGATAAATCTAAACACAGGAAATAATTTACATTAAAAAAATCCTAAGACACATTGGGATGAAGAAGGCTCTTTGGCCCATTTGAACTCATTCTTCCAGAATAGCAACCCATCTTTCTGTTACACCATCAAGTTGAAATGAGTCCAGCATCCTGGATTTAAGCCAGTTGTTTTGAAGCATTAGCTCATTAGCACATTCTTTCCTGGGTAATGTGCTTCAAATCACACAATCATACCTCTGCAACTTCTGCACCTCTTCCCCTGGCCCCTTCTTTTCTCCTAATAAGTCCATCTCTGCAAGCTACAAAACAACAAAGAGCCCGGTGATAAAACATTCAACAGCAGCAAAGGCCACAAAAGACTTCCGGCAAATCATCTGAGCAACATTCACCACGTCTTTCACCAAATAATAATAATTTGGTCAATCCACGACTGTTTGTGGGACGCTGCTGTGTGCAATTGGCTGCCATGTTTGCCCACAAAATATACAGTCGATTCACTTTACAGTATACTCTTAAAGTGCTTTGAGATGTCTCAACAGTGTGATAAGGCGCAATATCAAATGCAAGGATAATTATTATTATTATTATTATTTTTATTATTATTATTATATCCTCCTATTCCCGCTTTAAATAAAATCTCTGCCTGGTTTCATTTGACATAAATATTCAGAGTTAGACTGCCTGAAGCCATTTTAAACCCATTTAAAGGAGATTTCTCCCCTCACCCCATGACTTCTCCCTTTTATTTTGAAAAAAACACTAAAAGTAAAACGAACCCTCATTTCTAATGAAGAGATTTGAATTTCCAGTTCTGTCTTTTCCGTTTCTCGAAGTCTTTCCAGACGCCTCATCTCCTGTTCCCTGCAGTCAAAAAAAACAGAGGCTTGAGATAACACAGTGACCAGAAACATGGGAGTCACAGTAAGATGAATCTTGACAGAAGTGGGAATTACACTCCGATACTCCCGGGAGCTCACCGGTTGTTATGACCCACACTGAGTTTCCTGTAGGACTCAATATTTTTAAATCCTAACATCCTCTCTGTTGCGACCACTGAATTTGCGTCCTATTACAGAATACCTTAGATACAGCAATATATCCTAACGGATTCCCCTTCCCCTTCCACACCTTTCTGGTGCTTCTACAGATCTCCAAGGGCAAAGTCACTGATTGAACAACACAAAACACTCTCACTGCCTGGATAGACACATGTGAAAGACGTTCAGCTAAACTTCCCTCCAAATTTCCTTTTCATTCCTTGAACTCCCAGTTTTGCCTGAATTGGAATTCTGCCAATATTCACAATGATCCCCTGTTCTTGATTTGCAATTCACAAAACTAACAGTAATATTACTATAAAACACTTCCTCCAACTGAGTGATTCAGAGAACAGGCCCAGAGACCGATTTATGATAAATCTTTTTTTTAAATAAAAAATGATATTCGTAAAAACAAACACTCATCTCAGTCTAAACCTTCCCTACGAATCCTTCTATGTTCAAGAAAATCACCACAGTGTCTTGCTGCATCCTTCTCTGCAAATCTACTTACTTCTCCAGTACATCCTGTTGTAGCAAAGTGACCAGCTCTTCCAGCCTCTGTTTCTCGGAGCTACATTCGGTGTACTGTGGGAAAATAATAGGTGGTTAGCTTGCGAGATTAGCTCTGACATTGTCAAAGTTGGGTTAAATGCAAGATGGACCAAATAGAGGTCTTCAAAGTCATGAGGGGATTTGATAGGTTAGAAAGGGAAAAACTGTTTCCACTGGTGGATGTGTCGGTGACTCGAGGTCACAGATTCAAAATAGTACCTAAAAGAAGCAGAGGGGAGGTGAGAAGAAATTTTGTCAGGCAGCGAGTTGTTTGAATCTGGAACATATTGCCTGAAAGGGTGGTGGAGGCAGATTCGATAACTACTTTTAAAAACGCGGTGGACGGGTATTTGAGGGGGACGGGTTTGCAGGGTTATGGGGAAAGGGCTGGGGAGTGGGATTGACATTACATTGCTCTTTTCAAAGAGCCGTACAGACTCGATGGCCAAATGGCCTCTTTTTGTGCTGACGTTTCTATGATTCCCCCCGGCCACGATCCGATGGCAACATTTGTGCACAAAAGCCCTCAAAACAACAGCATACCCGTCGCCGTACTGCTGGAGGCTGTCTATTAGGTTCTGAAATGATCTATGAGGATGTAACTAATCCTTGCAGAATGCAATCTGAATAGCTGAACAAAACTAAGTGCCCAGAATAGTTCTCCCACTCTGTCTCAAAAGCTCCATCTTGCTTTGTTTTAATAAAGTGGCTTTAATCAATGGATCTATTCTAAATCAATCCATTGCCACATCCCTAGACACAGCTAAGGGCTCTCCTTATGGAATTTGTTTTGTTCAGAAACAGGAAGTATTAACGTAACGTTGGCAAGGCCGTGAACCAAGACTATCGGATTCACACGGATGTGGCCCGTACCCATTGTGGCTGCCAAACACGTTAAATGATCGTTCTGTTGGCAAATAGGTATATGTTAGCAACATGCCAAGTCTCCGTCAGGTAGCGAGTGATTTAAGAATAACAATTGCAGGTGCCTTCAGTAAGGGCACTGGTAACAAGAGGGTTTGGCAGCATTCAGAGGTGAAACTCCCCGTTCAGGTATAGCCTGTGGGGACACAAAACCCAAACCATCAAGAAAGAAAGCCTATTAAATGCACAAGGATTAATGTAGCATTAAGGCAGGCTGGTGCTCCTGACCGCATATGTCACAGAGTGTCTCAAGCCTACGCAGTGAGGACCCAGCCTCAGGTGTTAGTTTGGATATCATGCATCGCGTGTACGTGTGTGAGAATGGGGTGCAGGGGCTGTTTTTGCGGGTGCAAGTCCGTGAGAGCAGGCAGGACAAGAGAGGTGATGGAACTTTATCTCACTCTGTACGTGGGCACAATCCCAGCAGCCTTCAGTGAGCTCTTCACCCGCTGATAGTTGGACACAGAGAGAAAACAGATATTTCTTTCGCTTTCAGTAATAAAATGATGCAAGTAACAGAATAAGGGCAATATATATTTGGGGCTTTGTTAGAAATTAGATGCCTCCCATTAATTGATTCCCTGCCCCCCCCATGCCTTTCTCTCCCCCTAATTTCTTACACTGATTTCCTCAAGTTGTTACAATTAACCTCAGTGTCCCTGGGCTACAACAACAAGATTGCATTTATAGAGCGCCTTTCACGTCAGGAGGACGTCCCAAGGCGCTGGACAGTTGGGTCGGGACCCGAGCGGGGGGAAATGGTCAGGGTGAGGGAAGGGAGGGAGAGAGCCTACAGAGAGCCTTCTGACTGAGAGGTGAGATTGCTAAGAACTGAGCCAGGCTGACACCTGATATCTCTCCCCCCACCCCCGTCACCCACATACACATGTTACAGACACTGCAGGCGACATGTAACCCACAAGTAGGAATCTGGACAGGTTATTGAGTATAACATTGTGGGCAAATGACCAAAAGTAGCTCCACGATCAAGAGTATAATCTAATAATAATTCAAGCCACTGATGGAATGCCTGTAACACCAAAACAGCTCACAGTCCCTAAAGGTAATTATGGGGAGAAAATGAACAAAAGTGACAAGAACTCTAATTTGTAGTCATTTTCCATCTGACTTTCCAGACCAGAAACACCTTTGCTAAGGACAGTACATAATCTCATTCCCAAGACGTCGTCTAACATAGGAACTGTGTTCTTTTGCATTCTCATTAGTGTCCAGCAACACCCTAAGTCACACTCTAGGGTCCGCAGAGCCTTGGCTCTTGCCAACCTGAACTTAATGTGGAGTTCTGTATCTCAGTGGTTAGAGCACTCGCCTCGCAAGCGAGAGAACTGGATTTGATTCCTGGTAAGGCGAAACCTTGGGCAACTTTCCTTACTCCACACGCTTCTGTTTACCTAGCAGTAAGTAGGAACCTGCTAGTTAGTTGATTGACAGATCGCTTTTCCGGGGGTAATAATCCGTTCAAAAAAAAATAACAATAATAATAAATTGGTCACTCAATCCAAGACTGTTTCTGGGACACTGCTGTGCGCAATTGGCTGTCCTGTTTTGCCCACAAACTATACAGTCAATTCACTTTACAGTATATTCTGTGAAGAGCATTGAGACGTCTCAACAACAACAACAAGATTTCATTTATAGAGCAACTTTCACGTCGGGAGGACATCCCAAGGCGCTGGGAAGTTGGGTCGGGACCCGAACAGCGGGGAAAAGGTCAGGTCTCAAAGATGTGATAAGGTGCTATATCAAATGCAAGGACTATTATTATTATGATTAATGCTTACTGAATTAGGTATGGAGAGTGAGGAAAAAGTCTGCATTCTGTTCCAGAAACGTGGAAATCTCCATGTGTTGGTGGCATACATATATGCAACTCTGTCTGGTTTGAATGCACTTCAGCATGGTGATGGGTTTCTGAGTGTGTCAAACAACTGGCCAGAAAGAGTCTGTACCCAATGGTGACTCGCTCAGTGAGTTTAAAGAGTAAGAACCATAGGCTGTTATAGCCATAGCCAGCAGCTAATCTCAAACAGATGCAAAGCAATGTTACACAATGTTCTTCTGTTAGACGACTGCTTGAAATCTCACGTATTGTGTCCTAGCCTTAGTGAGGGGGTGGGAGGGGGACGGGGGAAGACGGTACAATTGGTGTCAAGTTCAAAGTACCTCCCCTCGAGCCAGAGACACACTTTGACTTCTACGCTTGGAGGTCGCTGAAATCTCCTCTGGGTGGATGCTGACCTGATCCCTGGCAGACTCCAGTTCCTGGTTCTGTTCTTCCAGCTCACTGTTCCTCACGTGAAGCATGTCCCAAACCTTCTCCAACTCTTCTCGTACTTGAAACAGGTCATTATCCACTTCTTCCAGAGACGCCTGCAAAGACACCGATTCTGATCAGAAGAACTTCACCATTAGTTACAGCATGGTTTTACATCTGGGTAATCCTGCGCGCTCCATGTATTGGGAAGATTGCACCAAACTTTAGGAACCATATACTGTCGTAGCCTTAGAGATTGTTCAGTGACAATTTACTAAGTTATTATCTATACTAATAAAGGCGAAATGTCTGTCTGTGCGTCTGTCCAACAATAACGCCTTAACCGACTGACGTAGAGAGATGATTTATACCTCATCGGAAAGGTCTTGCATGGGGGAGTGTCATGAGTCCTCCCAATCAGGAGTACTACAAAACCAGGAGTACCCCCAAAAGGATATGTGTGCAAATTTCAATAGCACATTTTCTTAACCTTAAGGGCTAAAGATGCCTAAGAAGCCAAGATCAAACCGTTCAAGGACAAATAAAAATGCCAGACGAACCAAAGAAGGCCGATTAAATAAAACTGGTTGCAAGAGTTGCTACAATGGGTACAACTAGTTAATAATAATAACAATAATAACAATCTTTGCATTTGACATAGCACCTTTCACTTCAAGAGAATGTCTCAAAGCGCTTGATGGGATTTATTGTAAATTATGTATTTCATAGGTGAATGCGACAGCCAATTTGCACCCAAAACGTCCCACAAACAGCCATTAAGCGGCTGATCAATTTTATCTGGGATTATTGGCAGACCTCAGTTCAACATTGCATCCAACATTGCAGCACACCCCCAGCACTGTGCTGGAGTGTCAGCCTACACTGTGAGCTCAAAATTCAGCTACCTTGAATTCTCCTGGCTTGTTCACCTTGGCTTCTTCCAGTTCCTAGATTAAAGAAGATATATCAGAATTAAAAGAAAAAACGCAATTAGCCTGACAAGATCCTTGAATCAGCAGCTGCTCCCATCAATGTTTTACCCCTTAAAAGGTTTCCTACAAAATGCGCTTAAAATAGACCTATCACCTATCACTGAGCTCCCAGTCAGATCAGAACAGCTTAATAATGTCCTCCTCATGTGAAAGGCGTAATATCAAATGTAAGAATTATTATATAATTATTATTAGAATTATGTACATGTGTATTCTGTGATTATATGTAAACCATATGTAAGGCAACAGCCCTTATTTATGCAATTAACAAATACTTTTAATTACATAGAGAAATATACAACACAGAAGGAAGAAGGCCATTCAGCTCATTATTTTGTGTTGGTATCTGTCCACCCTAATCCCAGTTCCCTGCTCTTTCCCCATAGCCATAGCCTCTAATTCCCTTTCTCAAGAGTACCTGAGCTTGGTCTAAATTCTTTCTGAAACGCCCCCTTCATCTCTGCTCAAACAGCCGCCACCTCTCCTAACGGCAAATCATTCCACACCCTGATAAACCTCTGTGAAAAGCTGCAATCCAAACCGCTCTTTTTACACTCCGCCACTCACTGTTTTAAGCCCAATTAAAGGCAACTCGGATTATCTCTGTACACGTGCTTTGCTCATGACCCCACGTGTACATTTCAGGCTAAACTCCAGACGGGTCAAATTTAGGGACCGACTTCATGTGATTTCAGCAACAAGGAACGGCTTGGAACAGAGAGTTGCTTCTGGTGAATGCTTATCCCGAACTCCCACATCACGCTCTTCATCTCTAAAGGTAAAAACCGCTGTTGACAGCAACAAACTGTTCACATGCCACACCGATTAGATTCTCGTCCCGAGAAGCGCACGGAGCCCCGATCAATAAGTGCGATTCCACTCAACGTGTAACCACTGACCCCTGGCAGTCAGCAGAGGATCGATTGTCCTACGATTGGAACTCCCTCGGCTCCGCAGGTTGGTTTCAAACGTCTAGGCTATTGAACTGCTCTATTGAATTGTGATTAAGAACTAGCCTTTTCCCACTCCTGAAACAAACCTGACAAAGGCTGACAAACCCTTTTTTATTCTAATAGCATCTCGAAAGCACTTCACAGGGAAGTGTAGTGAGTGTGTATTTGTAGGTGTAAGAGGCAGCCAATTTGCACAAGGCAATGTGCTGCAAATAGTCAAGAAGTGATGGACCTATTTTTATTTGATGGGGTGGGGAAAAATTGATCAGTAGAGGCTTCTAACCATTCGAGTAGTATAAAGCATTAACGCATTTAAAAATGAACTTAATGCATACATGAGGGCGAAGGGAAGAGAGGGATATAGGAAAGGCAATTAGGTGGCTCATGTGCAGTAAATGCTGGGCTGATTAACCTGTTTGTGCTGTAACAATCCATGCAAGTGATGTAGTGATTATTTGCACACCAGGCAAGGATAAGTATCTCAGTTCCCAATACTGGAAGTTCTAACACTCTTGTGTTCTGCGAACTGCCATTAGTGAGGGATGTAACCAGTTTTTTTGAACTCTTGACACTCAATTGGAGTAAGGGTCTCAATCAGTATGAGAATCTTTAAAGTAAGCTGTCTGATTGATAATTTACTTGGAGTGGTTTACAAAACCGTGTTTAGTTAACAGAATTATTGAGACAAGGTAATTGATGTGCACCAGTCTATTTATTTCTTTATTGGTACAGACTTTCTGTTTGAAGATAGTGGAAATCCTATTCGTTTTTATGGACAACATTAGATTCACGTTTTCGGGTAGTTTACGGGTGCGTGAAGCTGGGAAGAAAAGGAACTAGAATTCAATTCAATACAAGTCATTTGCCAATGTAACACTCACAACAACAAGATTCCATTTATAGAGCGCCTTTCACGTCAGGAGGACGTCCCAAGGCGCTGCACAGTTGGGTCATGACCCGAGCAGGGGGAAATGGTCAGGGTGAGGGGAGGGAAGGGAGGGAGAGAGGAGGGGGGAAATGGTCAGGGTGAGGGAAGGGAAGGGAGGGAGCGAGGAGGAGGAAGAGAGTCGAGAGGGGAGCTGAAGGCACGGTCAAAGAGAAAGGTTTTGAGACCGGCCTTGAAGGAGGAAAGGGAGGAAGCAAGGCGAAGGCACTGGGGGATGGAGTTCCAGAGCCTCGGGGCTGAGAGGCTGAAGGCCCGACCACCGATAGTAGGGCGGTTGGGGCGGGGGACGTGGAGCAGACCGGAGCCAGAGGAACGGAGGGTACGGGCAGGTAGGTAGGTAGTGTATTAGCATTGTGGCAGGACAAGGCTTTACGTCTAACATTCCCCACTGTGTGGGCTTTAATATGATCCATGTACGATGCAGGGGAGTGTAAATCTAAGCATCCTTCCCGCTTTTCCCAAGAGGTCACTGAAAATTAGTAGGGAGAGGAGGCGTGGGAGAGGGAAGAATATGTATGTAATAATCCTTGCATTTGATATAGCGCAAGGCATCTTAATCCATTTATAGGATCTACTGTGAAGTATAGTGACTGTGTATTTGCAGGGCAACGAGGCAGACAATGCGGGGCTTGAACCCACAACAACAACAAAATTACATTTGTATAGCGCCTTTCACGTCGGGAGGATGTCCCAAGGGGCTGGACAGACAGAGAACCGTCTGATTCAAAGACAAGAGTGCTATAAACTGAGCCAGCCTGATATATAGTATGAAAGAGCAAGGAGCAAGAGATAAGAGATAGCGAGAGAGAGCTTGAAGTACAAGGTCATTGAAAACCAGCTGCAAACATAACTGACCAGTGGATGTAGCTTATCGGGGTGTGTGGGGGGAGGTTGAGGTGGCAGTTCGCAGTCTGCTGCACAGAGTTAGGTGTCATGTTGTGTAAGGGACCTGCAGGAGACTTGAGCAGCAATCAATAATTATCCAGATTACTGTTTGCCAAGGGTTATGTCAAAAGTTTCTCATTCACACTAGATAAGGTCCCATGTTCTGCTGTGCACTAACGTCGAGCCTGCAAGGCAGCTGTCAAATCCCATTAACGGCTTTGGTCCTCAGAGTTAACGCTCTTTGTTATATTACAGCTATGAAAAGTAACCTGTGGACGGCACGTGCTGGGAGTCACTCAGTCCCACCAACCCTCTTAATAATGGCACCCAGCTTTATTGCAGGAACTAATTCTATGCCCCGGGATCTCCTTACCTCTCCAACCCGCTTACACCCCAACCCATTATCCGCTCGGCTGGCTCCGGCCTCCTGCATGTCCCTCATGCCCTTCTCCATTCCACTATCGGTGGCCGGGCTTTCAGCCACTACGCCCCGAAACTCTGGAAAGCCCTCCCTCGATCCCTCCACCTTGCCCTACCCTTAGGTCGTGCCTGAAGATCGTCCTCTTCGACCGTCCTTTTGTTTTATAAAGCCGTGACGCGCCCGCTCGCTCGCTCGCTCCTGCTCAACGCAATGCAGCTGCTAAACGTGGACCAGGCTTCTGGTGGCCCCACTCACCTCTCTGAGAGCCTTGGTTATCTCTTGCTGCTGTCGGTGCTGAGTCTTGGCGTCCCTGAGTTCTTCCTGAAGCGCGGATACCTGGGACAGCAGCTCCTCAACCAAAGGTGACGGCAGGCTGGAAGAAGCAACAGTAAAGGGACACTGGGTTGACACACTACGGCAGTTTCGTCAACAGCAAGAACTCATTCGTGGAGGAAAGGGAAAAAAAGTCAGAGAGCGATTCGGGAGGGGTTGGGAGGGGTTGCAGATAGCATTCCAGTAGGGAGTGGGCAGGGTATTGGAAAGGCCAGCGAGAGAGAGAAAAAGAGAGAGAGAGAAAGAGAATGAGAGACTGAGAGCGCAAGCAAGAAAAAGAGCAAGCGCGAGAGTGGGAGAGCGAGAGTGTGTGTGAGAGAGAGAAAGGTACGGCAGCAATTAAATCGAAAGCGATTACAGCAGAAAATCCCATCCTTTGTAAACAAGCAGTTCGGAACAACGCTACAGCTTGGGTAAAAGCAGCTTGAGACCAACATCACACAGACATTGCTGTCAATAAGGTCTATTATACCACAGGTGTAAGCCACGTGCACAGACACACACTATTCACTGCTTCACTATTCACCCCTCTCGACTCTCTACCCCCTCCTCGCTCCCTCCCTTCCCTCCCCTCACCCTGACCATTTCCCCCCTGCTCGGGTCCTGACCCAACTGTACAGCGCCTTGGGACGTCCTCCTGACGTGAAAGGCGCTCTATAAATGGAATTTTGTTGTTGTTGTTGTTGTTGCTTACGTAAATGACAGCCAATTATTTTCATTAGTTGCTGATTGAATAATTACGGGCAACTGGAATGCCCGCTGTACACATGGTTTACATGTACACAGTGAAACCCCGATACAATGCAAGCACGCTGCAGACCCCAAGTAAAATTACGATACACTTACCACAATATAGTAATAATAATTAATAATGATAATTATTAATAATAACAGGCTTCCTGGGCACAACTTGACACCCACAGAATTGCTGACCAGCAGCCACACTGTTAACACTACTTCTTGTAACGTGGGGTGGGACTCAGTTTATATCGTCTCCATCACCACGTTATAAAACTGAGTTGGACCGTAAGGGCTTTTACATGCTGCAGACAGTCCCCACATTGTACATTAAACAGCAACTGTAGGATCAGGTCATATCTGAGGGTTAGCTGCTGTTTTCCTGATCTGTAACACACCAGAGGTCTGAGACTTCACCTGGTCTCAGTCTCTTTATAACACTTTCTCTTTGAAATTTAAGATCACATAGAATTGGGGAAACTCAGTTCGTAAAATCAGTCTCGATTTCAAAGCAGATTTAAGCAATACAGAAATCCGGCTTTCAATTCAAGACTGAAATTAAAGAAACTCTGATATCGCACGAACCGTCCTTCGACTGAGATGCTAAACCAAGGCTCCGTCTGCCTGTTCAAGTGGACGTTAAAGATCCCATGGCACTATTCGAAAGGAGATTCTCCTAGTGCCATGGCCAACAATCTCCCAAATAATATTGGTCAATCACTTTATGGATGTTTGTGGGACACTGCTGTGTGCAATTAGCTGCTGCATTTCGCCCACAAAATAGGCAGTCAATCCACTTTACCGTATATAAGCCAGAGGGGGTGCAATCTTAAAGGGGGTGAGGAACAGAGGGACCAGGGACCTACTTATATTTCCATATAAGTAAATCTTTGAAGGTGACAGGACAGGTAGATAAAGCTGTTAAAAAAGCATATGGGATACTAGGCTTTACAAATAGAGGCCGTAGAATACAAAAATAAAACACTGGTTAAGCCTCAGCTGGAGACTGTGTTCAGTTCATACTTTAGGAAGGATGTCAAGGCATTGGAAAGGGTGCAAAGGAGATTTACCAGGATAGTACCAGGAATGAGGGACTTCAGTCATCAGGAGAGGCGAGAGAAGCCAGGATTATTCTCCTTGGAGCAGAGAAGGTTAAGAGGAGACTTAATAGAAGTTTTCAAAATTATGAGTGGATTCAATAGGGAGAACACGGAGACACGATTTTCACTGGCGGGTGGGTCGGTAACCCAAGGATACCAATTTAAAATAGTTAAAAGAAACAGGTGAGGAGAATTTTTTTTACACAGCGAGTTGTTCGGATCCGGAACGCATTGCCTGGAAGGGTGGTGGAAGCCGATTCGATAACAACTTTTAAGAGAGAAGTAGATAATTATTTAGGGAGGACAAATTTGCCAGGCTGTGGGGAGAGGGATTGATTTGGATAGTTCTTTTCAAAGAGCCAGCACAGACACGATGGGCTGAATGGCCTCCTTCTGTGCTGTATAATTCTATGATTCTATGATATCCTGTGAAGCACTTTCAGACGTCTCTATGACGTGATAAGGTGCTATATCAAATGCAAGGATTATAATAATAAGAGAGAGATGCTTAAATTCAACAGGTTTCCTCTATTACGCCATTGATTCTGGATTCCTTCTACTCACCCAGGTGAGGAGGAGGTGTCAGACTTCAAAAGATGTCCTGAAAGTGGAGCATCCTTGCCTGGAGAAAGAAAATACTCATCAGTACAACGCAAATAAATAATGCAACACAATACAAAATTACATTTGTGTAGCCCTTTCAGGTCGGGAGGACGTCCCAAAGCCATCAATAAACAACAACAATAACAACTTGCATTTATACAGCGCACCTCAGGCAGTGAAGCATCTCAGAGCGCTTAGAAATGGAGATAATAAGTGCAAGACTTCTTCGAAGGAATTTGGATAATGACAAAAAAGTGGAAACTAAACTGCGAAGCGGAACAAATAGACGCCATGCATTGAAATAAGACGATAATCGGTATACAATTTTGCGCTATTTCTAAATAGATTTCTCTTTTTTTAAAAAAAATCGATCACGTGAAATTGACCTCAATATAACAAGGCTGCCTGCTGGACAGTAAATAATCCACACTGTTTTCAAGAACAGAAAATAGATTAAAAAATTATCGCTTAACACCCCCCCCCACCCCACCCCCACCACTCCGCTCCCGTCCTCTCCCTTCCAGCCACTAACCCAGGCTGCCCACAACAAAGTGAAGGCAGCGCAGCCACCGTTCATCAGGTACGCATGCCATCACTGCGCGACACAGCGGGTCACAGCTCCAATGCACCATCCAATTTGGACCCCTTCCAAGAGTTGGTGCTGCCACTGAGCTCTTCCCCCATTAAAACTCAGCGTCTGCTACCACCTAGTGGCTGAAAATTGACCCTGCGTCCCTGAGGCCGCAAGGAAAAGATTGCGGCATAATGTGGAACTGTGTGTATAGAAACAATTAACGGAACAAATATACTGCAGCCCCCATCTTTGCACTTATCCTTTGTGGTGTTCCATAGGATTGGTACCCAAATGTTCAGACCGAGAAAGCCCAAAGGCTAAACGCCAGCCATAAGCGCAACGTCTGGTCTGCAAAAAGCTACGAGGGAGAAATTCCACCAGAGTCTAGATTTCCTCTAGACGCTCGCTTACAAATTCCGTCTCCACACTCCACAGTAAAATCTTGTAAAACACTTTGAGACGCCTCGCTGACGTGGTGATAAGGCGCTGTACCAAAATGCAAGGATTATTTTGGAGGGGTCCAGGATTTGGCAAGTTCTTAAAACACGGCGTTAATTTTGAAGCCGGGTTCCGCCAGCAGTTTTTGTGTGGTTTTTTTTTAAAAAAACGAAACTACAAAAAAAAAATGACTTCAAAGTTAAGACTGAATGCAACAAATTGCCAAATTCAGGACGTTTCGAAATGTCACAGAAATAAGAGTAAATTTCGCCCCGGGGTGGAATTTCTCTCCATATGTTTTAAAACCCCCAAAATATTGTCTTGTAAATTGTTTAACTCCTCAGAACCAATTTCACACTTCAGTTCAATCACACAGTCCCTTTTGATTTGGGAAAGACATTTACTTAACAAACTTTAATGACTGACCACCACCACCACCACTCCCCACCCCCAAAATATATAAATCAAATATGTATTAAAAATATTTAAAATCATTTAAGATCAAATATCAATCAAATCTAAAAAGAATAGAAAATAGTTCCTTACTTTCCAGCTGTAAGAAGAGGAGCCCTTCCTGTGACACCAAATCCCCTCCATCTGTGTCTCTGGAGGAACATCAGAAAGTTCGGAATGAGAGACATCAGATCAGCCCATCGAGCCCACTCCTACAAACCCACCCTATCATGTACGTCTGCCTCACTCCACACTATCCCGAGAGATCAGTGTGCACAGATATTACCAGAGCTATGGTTGAACCCAGTTATAGTGTGGACTGCGACACTGGGTAATCAACAACTGGAACAGGGTTATCAGGGAAGGTGGTTGAGGTCAGGACACTGGACTCATTTAAGCAGCAGCTTGATGCAGTGATGGGGGGGAGATGGTAGGGTGGGTGTTCTGGAGAGATGAGATCGGATGGGCCAAAGGGCCTTCTTCATCCAAATCAATCTTGCGGTCTTGTCATTTACCTATCCCGAAAACTGCAAAACGTACACCCTGGCCCCATCGCCACGTCAAAACTGCGCGAGGGAAACAGCGCAAATCAAATGCAATCAAAGGTGACCTAACGACCGGAGGTCGGTCATTTTGACTTTGTGCACGACCCACATTTTGAAACTCCGATGAAGCTGGAGGTCCTGCTGCTCACGTGCTCAGAGCTGACGGAAATCGTACCCCATTCTAGCGCTGGTGAGAATTTTATGGATCCCCTCCCCCACCACCGCTGCCATCATCACATTACAACGGGGCTTTAAAAGTAACTTAAGTTAAAACGCTCACTTATTTTCACTCTTCAAACCCTGACTTTCGCCCCCATGCCCCCCTCCCTCGCCCACTCTCAGGAACACAGATTTGACACTACCCCAGGGAGTATTGGTTCACCTCAGTCTGTATCCTCCTATACTGTTCCCGAACAGATACTTATCCTGTTCTTCATTTGTAAGGAATTAATGAACGTCACCACCACTTTTTGACAAAAGGGTTTGGATTCATTCAGCAAACCTGTCACATCCAGCTTCCTGTTCACGAGGGTCCTCTCCATCACTGCGCTCCCTGAACGCTTGTGAAACATTGTCCCCTGTGGAGGAACTCACTATCAGTGAGGAGCCCAGATTACAGATGATTCAACATTGTTCCGGGCTCCTTTAAACTTACCGTACTGCAATGCATTTTAACTGAGAACTGGACGATTTATAACAGTGAGACTTATGTGAATTTTCCTGCATTTCCAAGTTTGCTTAGAATCGGCGTTAGTTCCGCACAGGTTCTAGAAAGTTCTCAGGCAGCCCGGCCCTACTGAACCAGACTTTCAGATAAACCACGCGATCGCTCTGCCACACAGCGCAGCACTACACTCCGAGCCCTGTCTGAGATTGGATCTCAGGGCTCTGAGACCCTGCCCTGCGCGAAGGACGCCATATCAATGCAAATTGTTGTTGTTGTCTGTGAAGGACACAGAGCGCACAGGGTATAAAGGTGAGCAGACATAACTGGCACTTACCTGGTCGGCCTGGCTTGGTTGGTGGAGCTGATGACTGGCGCTCTGTAAGGCTTGCACTTGCCGCTGTAGCTTACACCTCGTGCTCTTCTCCAGCTCCAACTCCTGTTTGCAAGCGTCCAACTCCACACGCACCACAGACAAACTCTCTTGCTGAAAAAAGCCAGATAATAATAATACATGCATTTAATATAGCACTTTATAACATTTCGCCCACAGAATATACTGTGAATTGACTGTATACTTTGTGGGCGAAATGTGGCAGCCAATACAAGCGCAGTACAAAGACAGGGTCAGACACCGAGCAAGGGAGAGGGGGTCATAGGCACTGTCATGAAGGTAGCCTTCAAGACAACTCCCTTCTCTTTTCGAATAATGCCTCAAGATCTTTGACATCCACCTGAGCAGGCAGACGGGACCTCGGTTTAACGTCTCATCCGAAAGACTGCTTCTTGCTCCCTTTCGAAAGCCAATACAGATTCTGCCTGGAATACCACTCCCGGCAGGTAATCCGTATCCTAAACTACTCTGTGTGTGAAAAAGAAATTGTCCTAGCCTCCCCCGCTTGCTTGCTGGTTTGTTAACCATCTTCAATGAATGGACCCATTCCCAGCCATAAACCAGTGGTGCTCCCTGTGAGGAGAGCTTGGTTTCTCCTTTGTTATCTCCATTGGTGACAGACCGTGTTCTACCCCCATTGATGCCAATCAGCCCCGAACCTTCGCGTTGCTTCTCTTGCAGGTCACGGTTGCCAAATGGACCTCATTGGCCTTGGCTTTGAGAGCCACGGCTGCCTCCTGCCACTTCTCCTTCCAGTGCAGCGTCACCTGCTGTTGCTCTAGGGTAACTGCAGCCAACTCCTCCGCCTTCTGCTGTAACTGAGCCTCCAGCCATTTGTTCTGCTCGTTCAGCTGAGCCTGAGAAACTCTGAAAGATCAGGTCTGAACGTGAGCTGGTTATACTTCACCGAATACCATCGGACGCCTGTTTAGTGTGCGTAAAAATATCAGAAAGCTTGGGCCGAGAACATGCCATTCAACCTTTCCTTACTGAATTTTATGGAAACTTACTTCGGGCTAACAAAGGCCACGGTGGTGAGCATTGCTTTTCAAGTGAGGAGTGTGGTGCCGGGTGTATCACTCGCTACAGGTCATTCACTTTATGGCGCTTTGTGGGAAATTGCTGTGTCTAAATTGGCATCCGCTTTTGCCTACAAATGACACAGTCACTACACTTTACAGTGTATCCTGTGAAGTGCTTTGAGACATCCTTGTGATGTGCAAGGCGCTATATCAAATGTAACGATTACTAATATTATTATTACTATTTCTTCCACTCTTGATCCCGTCCAATTCTTCACCGAATGGAACTGAATGGCTTTGTTGTTGCTATTTCCCTCTGTACTTACCGCAGGGCCTCGCAGTCTGCCTTGCAGGTCAGGAGCTCGCTGTCCTGGCTTTGGTTGCTGGTCGTCACCGCGGTAACAAGCATCTCCTTCTCGCTGATCAGCTGGATTCGCTCGGCTTCCAGGGCCTCCATGCGATTGTTCAGGATCTTCTTCTCAGCCTCCAGTTGGTGGAGCTGTTCCTGGCAACTCACCAGCTTCTTCTGGATCTCAGCCATTTCAGAGGAGACCCTCTCGTTTACCTGGAAGGGGAAGGACAGTCACCTAGTCTTACCCTACGATACAATACAATAAAAAATTACATTTGTGTAGCACCTTTCACGTCGGGAAGACAACCCAAGGGGCTGGACAGTCTGAGATTTGGACCCGAGCTGGGTGGTTGGCATCAGGGAGGGCGGAGGGCAGGGAGGGTAAGGAGATACTCGATGTAGTTAAAACACGAAGGAGCAAAGCTTGCAAAGAATGGTGAGCAAATGCTGCCCAAGAATAGCGACCAATAATTTCCATCTATTCCAACAACAATAACTACATCATTACATTTGTATAGCGCCTTTCACGTCGGGAGGATGTCCCAAATCACTGCATAGTGGAGGACTTAGACCCGAGCTGGTTCTCAGGGACAGTGAGCAACACTTTCAATCTATGGTGAGCAAAGCTTCCTGAGAATGGTGAGCAATAGTTCCAGGACAACAGTGACACACGGGTTTATGGTGATAATAAGGAGGCTGAAAGTTTTGTTGATCCTTCCATGCTTCGTCCACAAAATACACAGTCAATCCACTTTACGCTATATTCTGTGAAGCGCTTTGAGACTTCTCAACGACACAATAAGGCGCTATATCAAATGCAAGGATTATTATTAGGCTCAACAGCTAGGCAGGGAAGTGGAATGATAAGCATGGCACGTACCTGTTTAATGGTTGCAAGTTCTTCCTTCAGTAAGACTTTCTCCTGGTCTTTTCTGTTGGCCTGAGATTTGCTGCTCACGAGCTCCACGTGGAGACTGGCTACTTGCTCATCGAAGCCTTCTCTCCCTCGCTGGGCACGCTCCAGCTCCAGGCTCAACAGCTGGACTCTCTGATGTAAATCCAGCTTCTCCTGCACAATGGGGAAGCATCAGCAACACTAAGCATGGGTTTTGCTGGTCTGCATTGGGAGATTCCATTGGCCCTGGCTATCCCAGAGCTAGGGCGGGGGAAACCAGCCAGGGTTCCTGCTCTTCATCCCTCGATGTTCTATGGTGGGATTCTACGGTGTCTACGATTGAAACCAAGTGGAAGGGCACACTGCAAAGCCACACATGAGCATTGCTGAGCACTGGGATTGGGCATATGATACAGACCCTCAGCCATGTGCAGAGGAAAACTACATCCTTTGAGAACCTTCAAGAACCCAACAGAGTGTTTAGTTACCTTGAAGAATCGGTCCTTGTCAGCCACAGCACCCACCAGTTTGGCCTTCAGGTCTTCAACAGCCCCGTCCAATCTTAGTACTTTGGATGACAGTAAATCTCGCTCCTGCAAGGCAAGATGGATAAAAGTGCAAATGTTTTGGAACAAAACGCTTTCCAGTACATTCTTTATTTCCTTTCAGATTAATCTATTGGTGTACAAGGATTCCTCAGGTTGAGGGTTAATTTGTCTACAGACACACGGGCATTACATTTACAGTGAATCTTGTGAATAGCTTTGAGATGTCCTCCAGACTTGAAAGGCGCTGTATTAACCGCAAGGATTATTATTGTAGATTTACCAGGTGTAGTCGTTGTTGTATGTAATTCTCTGCATGTCCAGCAGAGGGAGCTAGTGATGAAGGTAAATAAGAGTATCAAAAGTAACTCATCACGTAAAGAGCTTTGGGACAACACAAATATTAATATCACACAATAATAAGCTGTATGAAATGCAATTATTAGTATATCTCCCAGCACAGTCTCCCGTGGGCCTCCCTCATTAAAGCTACATTAAGATCTGACATAAATCCAATTCGGAGGCTGAGAAGTCGTGACATTTCTAACCACCAAGAACATGAGTAGACTGAAGGCGTCGGTGAGCTTTCAAAGCAGAACAAGGTCTCGGCGGATAAGCCTGCCTGGGATAGCATTCACCAAACCCTGACACCAGCAGTGCACTTAAAGATATTTGGTCACTCAATCCACGACTGTTTGTGGGACGCTGCTGTGTGCAATTGGCTGCCTCGTTTCGCCCACAAAATACAACCAATTCACTTTACAGTATATTCTGTGAAGCACCTTGAGACGTCTCGACGTGACGAGGCGCTACATCAAATGCAAGTAATATTATTATTTTTACTGCCGCAAAACAGAATTACCAAAGTAGCTTCACTGCAGCTGATCCTCAACTCATTCATCTCATTGTGCAGGGAGCCCTGGGCTCGCAGGGAGTCGGTCAGTCTTTGGTTGCTCTCGTTGGTTTTCATGAGGGCCGAACGTTGTGCCTGGAACAGATTGTTAGAAAGGGAAACAAAAGCAATTTCAGTTGGAGCAAAATTATTTCAACTCTGTTTTGTTTAAGGGTTCAAGGATTTCACCTTGTTTCCCCAGCCTTTCCCGTCCCCACCACTGTTCACAAGTTCCACTCATGCAGCACATTTCACGGCGAAAAAAACATCTCGAAGATTGGTTCGAAATAAAGAGATTGTTGTAAAATGTAGGCAAACGAGGCATGGTTGGCTGCACCAACAATGCCCTCCCTACAAGCAACAAGAAGATCAATGGGCAACAGCCTGCTGTGTGTTGATCTCCCTATCCCCTCCGCATCACCATTGACGGCCAAACTTCAGTTACTTCATCCCTAACCTCTGCCCCTCCAACTTATCCCCTCTTTATAATTCTTTAAATCTTCCCTTAAAACCAACGCCTTCGACTGGGTCTATGATGAACAGAGTTTTGACACAATTCTGACGTTGCCAAGCTTGTCACATTGGAGGCAGCTCAGCTGCAAGGAGGATAGTAAGAACTGGGATGTAGACCAACCTCTCTAAAGGTCTTCAACTCTTCAAAGACTTTATCGCGTTCTGCCCCTACACCCACAGCCCAGTCCTGATACACATGGGCGGTGTCTTGTGCAGTCTGGAGCTTCCGTATCAAAGTGGCCTTTCCCTGAAAAAACCCAAAATATGAGGGGGTGGGTTGTGGGGGGGGGGGGGGGGGGGAGACAGAGAGAAAGAAAAAAAAGAAAGGAAGGAAAATACACAACAGAGATTTATATCAAAGTATCTCACTGTATTACAAATGGGCTTGTATATCCAGTAAACTAAAGCAGAAATAAATAAGGCTTTCGTTTTGTTTCACTTCACATCACTGTGCATTGTTTTTCCCACAGGGTCAGTTGTACAGTCTGACAGCGTCTCCCAAGAAACAACGAGTCAGAACCTGCCTGACCGAGTAACTGCCCCACCCTCCCCACCCACTTATTGTTAAAGCTGTGCTTGTTTGCTGCAGCCTCTTTGAGACAATCTATGTTTGGTGAGCGAGGTTTATAGCCAAAATAAACCAAATTCCGTTCCACAACTTGGGTTGCTGTCTCCCCACCCCCAGAATAGCATAGTTTGCCAGCGAGAGCACTACCTGCCAAGCTTCCCTCCCGCTGCTTATCCAGCTAGGACCATTAGGGCTTCGGCTTGCAAGGTTAACAGGAGCTGAGCGGGAAGAGCCCCCACCCTAAATGACTGACCTGCCATTCCAAGGTCTCAAGTCCTGCTGATGAGATAGGCTGGCTGGTGTGTTACCAGCAGAGCTCTGCAACACTGCGCACCCTCCCTGGCCCAGGAGCCTGACTACCTCTTTGGGTAGTTTCTCACGTTTCCCATATCCCATTGTCTCTTTGGAGTCTGCTCATCCTAAAAGAGGTCGGTTGACCACCCCGCCCCATCCCCACCCCCCGCACACACACAAGGAGGAATAAGACGTCAAGTAAAACACTCACTTGTTTCAATAGATCTTCTCCTATTCCTGTCAGGGGGAATGTGTATGTGGGATAGAGCAGCACAGAGGGCCGTCCTTGGTTGATTTGCTCCAGCGAGCATTTTGTTTTGGCCATTTCTTTCTCCAGGTGTAAAATCCTAAACGGAACAAAAATGTCTTCACGCAAAGGGCCAAGATAATATGGGAGTGATTGACTGAGAAGATACGGATACAGAGATACAAGAGATTGAACTGAAACAAGGTAACCTGGGAGATTGGCCAAAAGGATTTGTAGGAAGCATTTGGCTGGTGAGCCTCAAGCCAACTCGCTGGAAATTCACTCTGACTCCAACCTCGTTTTCCACTTCGAATCAAAGTCAAAGCAGACCCTGAGGGATACTGACAAGATTCCTCCTGCTTGTCCATCCAGGACCACCCTACACCTAAAGGCTTTTATAAAATAAAAATCCACCTTACTTCTCCTGCAGCTCTGCTTGGTTTCTCTGATCTTCGCAATACGAGGCTTGGAATAAATCTTTCTCTTCTTCCAACTGCGAGATGGAATTTTCCAGCTGCTAAAAAAAGCAGGAAAGCGTTTGAAACTCTTAAGTGCTGCAGGTAATAATAGAATTGCCTCTGACCCCCATTAAACACTGCGGATTATTGCACAAGAGCTGGGACCAAGGCTAACTCAGAATGATCCTTTCCTTTATTTAGATCACGACTGAAGACTTTCCTCTTTGGTTGTACTTACAGTCAACTCTTCCCCCCCTCCCCAGCTCTGCATCAGGCTCCGTCACTGTTAAGCGCTCCAAGACCCTGAAGGGCACTATGTAAATGCAAATTGTTGTTGATTGTTTATTTGATTTCTAGCTGTCAAATATATTCTCATTAGGCCAACAATCTGGGGGCGGGGGAGGGGGGGGAGTGTGGGGGGAAGAATGAGATTATCGACCTTACAACTATAGAGTTATAGCTGTATAGTTGTAAGGTGGATCGCTTTCCAGAGGTAACGATCCCTCAAGAAAAAATTGGACACTCATTCCATGACAGTGTTATGCACAATTGGCTGTCCCATTTCGCCCACAAAACATTCAGTCAATTCACTTAACAATGTATTCTATGAAGCGCTTTGAGACGTCTCAGAATTATTATTAATAAATGAAATTGGAAATGACGCATTGAATCAACTCAGACTCGCAGTGTGGATCCAAGGAAAGAACGAGGAAATTCACTTGCTTTCTGATTCCAAGAGAGGAGTTCGATCTTTGCCTTGCTCTCTTCCAGCTGATTCTGCCGCTTTTGCAGTTGGTCAGACTGTCCCTCCAAAAGGCTGTGTGCGCCTCGGAGACAATCCATCAGCTGTGCTCTCTTCTTCCCGCTCTCCGACAAGGAGACTTTGAGGTCAACGTCAGAGTGGGCCAAACCCATGCTGCAGGGAGAGGAGCGGAGGGAATCGTCTCTTCGGCAGCGATCCGCAAGCCGAGCCAATGACTGTCGCCTTCTGGCCAAGTTCTGGTCGTACATCTCAAAGTCTCCGTTTGTGAGATCACAACTAGAGCAAAAGAAATATTTGGCTTGATTCCTCATTCGTAACCACACCACAAGTCCCGCCCTTGTCTGCCCTCTTATTATCTAACCAGTTCATCTGAAAACTCAACTCATCTGATGTGATTTGGTCAATATGGCACTTTGAATGGAGTGCCTCTCCCACCTGTCACATCGTTCACGATGGTAAAATCCGTGAAGCTATCCAATTCCATAGCCCAGCTTCGTGGACTTTGCCATTGAGAACAGATTCAGGGGATAGTATAGACTGGATTAAAAAATTACCCCAATATGCACACACACTACTTGTGAAATAAAAACAGAAGTCGCTGGGAACACTCAGCATCTATGGAGAGAGGAAAGTGAGTTAACATTTCAGGTCGATGACCTCTCATCTACTAATACTCACTACTTGTGTATGCACTGAATAGAGAATAGCAGAATAATAATAATAAGAGTAAAATAACCATCATCTTGACTCCAGGGAAGATATTCACAGTCTCCAAAGAACACAAGTATTTAAAGTGAGATTTCAGACCAAATCAACACAGCAATATTCCATTTTAATGGAACAGCAAAAACTGTAATGAGCATTGTGTTGCACAGTGAAGCTACAATGATTTGCCCAACGGTCATTTTGGCCAGGCTCAAATTGGCAACTGTACAGATGGATGCTGCAATAGGAGGACAGCAGGGTGAATGTTCTGGAAGGATGAGATCAAATGTGCTGAAGGGCTTTCTTCATCCAATCCAATCTCGTGATCTTGATCTCGAATGACCTATTTAATGGAGGGCGACTGAGTCTTGCCCTGTCCCACTGAACCATTGCCACCTGGTGGCCAATTACAACAGGACAAAACAGTGTGGAAAAGCCCCCAGCAAGATTGCCAGTAACAGGAAGGAAAAGAAAGACTGGGGTCTGTACATAGAACAATTGCTCTCTGCACCATTCCTCGCTTATCTTCACATGTCAGTGCATCAAATGTACGTCCCAAAGAGCAGCAGACTTGTCATAGGGTCAATTGAACAAAAGTTAGATTAAGTGTCACATTTACTCTTCCCCCAGTGTTCTCCTCCACTCTTGAAGTCAAATGACTTGTTGCTCGAGTTTAATGCTCAGACTACAAGACTGGGGGAAATGATATTTGCAATATGTATGCGATTATTAACCAGAAAGATTTGAGTAGCTCCCCTTAAATCCGCTCCGCCTACCTGCTGTTGCCAAAGGCGTCGTAATAAAGCCAGCATCCTGAGCGAGGGTGCTCTTCCTGTACTGAGCTCGCAGACCTGATCCTCAGCCCATTCACACTGGAATATGGATCAATGGGATCAAAGCAGTCGGAGTCTCTCAGTGAGGAGTCCTCAAGCAGAGAATAAATAAAACACTCGGATTAAAAGACTGGAAATTTTTAGCGCTCAATATCTGTGCTTTGGAGGCTATCGTAAAATGATCAATGAGGAGAGCAATCTTTTCAATGTGTGTTTATAATGAGCCATTGCAGGAGTTTTAGTATAAAGTATAGTGACTGCGTATTTGTAGGCGAATGTGGTAGCCAATTTGTGCTCAGTAAAGTGCCACAATAACAATAATAATATACCTCGCATTTGATATAGCGCCTTACTGAGAAGATTGAAGTTATGAAAGGCCCAATTGGCACAATAATATACCCAGCACAGCAATAATAATTTGCGTGCAGTAGAGTGGCACTGGCTGAATTAGATCCTTGTGCCTCTGATTAATAGGGCTGGATCCTGAAATGTAGATGATTCCCAAGATGATGTTGGCGTGAGGAAGTTTCAAAGCATTTGGCAGGATCTGTGCAGTGTAGTGACTGTGCCTATTGTGGACGAAACGTCAGTATCATACTTATTGCTCACCCCAGTCCTAAGTCCCTTCACACGACCACTAAACACTATACAAACTCACACAAAACAACCACACCACAAACCTTCTCAGTGGTATATAAAACATAATTAGGGGCTTTACCTGAAATCTGAGCGGAGATCTTTTGGAAACGTCCAAGTCTTGGTAGGTCTGGTCTAGTTCTGTCAGTGTTAGAGGGGACGATCGCTGCAGTGACCGACTTTTCAACCCAGGAAGAGTCCACCCACTGCCGCCTCTATACGTCTCGTCCCCAGCCAAACACTCAGGAGACGTCCTCGGGCTCCGGTTAGTGGTGACACCAGCCATTGAACCACCTGTTCGCACTCAGCCCGACACTTCCAGACAGTTCTCCGCGAAGCACCCATCGGCCAAGCACAACATGCTTCGAGAAGCGATCCTCAATCCTGTCTGTACGTTGACTGTGCAGATACTTTACTGGTCAGCACCTTGGGACGTTTCACCTTGCGACGTGAAAGGCGCTATACAAACGTAATTTGTTGCTGTCGTTGTTGTATGTTACACTGGAAATTGGCTCGCAACTATAAGGGCAAAGATTTGAAGGCTTTTTACTTCCCCACCCACCCCCCAAAAAAAATTAAAGTCTAAGAAAAGGTGATTTTTGGGAGTTTTTGATTAATTGGCAGCGATCAGACCCCAGGAGCAGCCTGGATTTACCATTTAAGGGTCGGAAAGGGATGTAAGTAAATTAAGGCACAAACAGGGCAGGTCTTCATTCCCTTTGTGTCCACAGTAACCAGAAACAGAAAAAAACACATCCCAAACCATTTGCACAACGACGCTCCTCTCTCGCTCTGTCTCTGAACTTTTTGAACAGATACACACACACACACAGACAGACACACACGCACAGACACACACACAAACACAGACAGACACACACGCACAGACACACACACAGACACAGACACACACACAGACACACACAGACACACACACACAGAGACAGACACACACAGGGACAGAGACACACACACAGACACACACAGTGACAGACACACACAAAGACAGACACAGTGACAGACCAACACACACACACACACACAGACACACACAGTGACAGACACACACACACAGACAGACACACACACAGAGACACAAAAAAAAATCTCAGCAACCAATGGCCGGTCTCTGGGGACAAGTTGCTGTGGTTTGCTCAGGTTGCCCAAGCCCAGGCCGCCCTCAGGTGGGTGGGTGTGTGGGTGGCGGCCCGCGGGCCGCACGGTAACTCCGCGCCTCTCGGTTACAATGTCTCCACAACTCGATACTGTCGCCAATCCACTGGGGACGGGCGACTGAGTCTGCGCAGTGGGGCCGCGCGATTGGGCGGCTTCCCGCCCAATTGGGCGTGTTTTTCCTCGCCCTGTGTGCGTTTGTGTGTATATATATATATTAAAAAAAAGCTTTTTTTTAACATTATTTCCCCTTTCCCCTTTTTCTTGCACAGTTTCAAGCAGCATTAACCCAAATCGCCCCCCTCTGCTACCTGCTTGGTTGGCAGCCCGTACTATTGGGCTACTTTGGGGGCTACTGTTTGGTGGCCTTTTGGGCTACAAACTGTATTTTAATTTCTGGCGGCCAAACGCGGGAACCTGAGCCCAACCCCAGAGGAGCAAAAGGAGAGAGAAGTGTCTGTCTGTGTGTGTGGGAGGGGTGGGGGGGGGATGGGGGGAGCTTAGGGATCAGCGGAGCATCTTTTAACTTATAAAGGGGGAGTGGGATTAATTTGGACAGTTCTTTCAAGGAGCCGACACGGACACGATGGGCCGAATGGCCTCCCTCTGTGCTGTATAGTGCTATGATTCTATAAAAGTGGTGGGTCAAATCCCCACCGGCCCTTAGGAATCTCCAACAGAACTCCAGACCGCAGTCCCTCGGCCTCGCTCCCTCCCTCCCTCCCTCCCTCGCCATCTTCAAGACCCTCCTCTTCGACCGTGCTTTCCATCCCCCTGCTTCTCCCCCCAACCCCTCCACCCTCCCCGACACCGACCCCCAGCTCGGGTCTGATACTCTGACTGCCCAGCGCCTTGGGACGTCCTCCCGACGTGAAAGGCGCTTTACACGTGTCATTTTGTTGTTGTTGTTGTTGTAATCCTTGCATTTGACACAGCGGTTTCTCACTTTTTCCAGATGTCTCAAAGCGCTTCACAGAATATTATC